TTAAAATATCTTTATCTTTAGAATTTTTTAATCTATGAATTTGAGATATTCCTCTATTTCTTTAGTTTCTCAATTTATCTCAAGAATGTTGGGATGTATTATATCATTTTCTCTGTAGACATCTTTACATATCCCATGATAATCATCCCGGAATAGGTAATATTTCTTGGAGCTACTGTAAATTTACTTTTTCTCTTAATTTTATTTCTTAATTTTTATAGAGACGGGGTCTTACTCTGTTGACCAGAATGGTATCAAACTGCTGGCCTCAAGAGATCCTCCCCCACTCAATCTTCCAAAGTGCTGGGATTACAGACTGAACGACAGCCTTTTTTTTTTTTTTTTTAAGATGGAGTCTTGCACTGGAGCCGATCTCGGCTCACTGCAACCTCCGCCTCCCAGGTGCAGGCAATTCTCCTGCCTCAGCCTCCTGAGTAGTTGGGACTACAGGCACATGCCATCACACCCAGCTAATTTTTGTATTTTCAGTAGAGACAAGGTTTCACCATTTTGGCCAGAATGGTCTCAATCTCTTGACCTCGAAATCTGCCCACCTTAGCCTCCCAAAGTGCTCCCAAAGTTAACAGGAATTTAATGTCCCAAAGGTCACGCCTGGCCTGCTTTTTCTTTTTAAATTTCTATTTCTAGCTGTCTCTTTACCAATACGCCTTTTATAAAAAGTTCTCCATGTAATTCCAATGTTTAGCCAGGTTTGAGAACTCCTAAGGTAATGTTTGATGAACAAGCAAAGGATAAATGTATTTTTTCCCAGTCTTAGTTATCTTTAGCCTAACTTCTGTGTGAAAATAACTTGGCAGTGTAACCTTGGCAATCCAACAGCCATTGCACAATTTTTTCAGAAGACTGCTTTAACCAAATTAGTTGTGGTTTGATTCCTGGCTGTGCAGGATTTTGTCATCTTTGATGTTCCAACGTCTAACACAGTATAGTCACCTAATTGGCATACGGTAAATGTTTGTTAAATGTTGGTTGAACTATGTGACCTCAGGCAAGTAATTTATTTCCTCTGGGCCTCAGTTCCCTCAAAGTAAAATTGAGGTAACCGTGCTGCCATCAGCTGGCTGCTGAAAGTATCAAACAAATGAGAAACAATTTTTTAAACTACCCAAGGCTACACAATAAAGTATCATTTATTAACTTCCATTAGCCTTCCTGTGTTTCAGAGGTTCATCTCCTTATTGAAAGAAAAGAAAGAGAATCAGGCACTCAGGGCAGCCCTACAAATTAATTAGCGGTTAGAAAGGGACTAACAGGTTCAAGGCATTCACAGAAGTTCCAGGAACATCATAAGCACTATGTTGAGAAAGGCTTCCGCAGAGTGACAACAAAGGGTACTGAAAGTCAAGACAACTTAAACAGCTCAGTCTGGTAGAAACTCATTTAATTTCTGCTCATAAAAAGAGATTTAGCAAAAGAAGACACATACCCAAAAGAATCCTAAAGAAGTTAACAGCAATTTAACTTCACTTCTAAGGCATCTGGAAAAGGATTTATTAGAAGCATTTTATGAGGCATAATTAGATCTTATGACTTGGAGAGTAGGAGGAAAAAAGACAGCACATCAAAAGATATAACAAAGCAAATGGCTAACATCAAGTTGTGGCACTTACACTGGCTTTCCTTTAAAAAGATTTTTTTTTTTTTTTTTTTTTTTGCCATCTAACCTATAGAAGGGACTTGAAATGATTTTTCATACTTATCTTCTATTCTTACCCAGAATCATTTTTTCTTTCCCATAGTTCCACTTAAAAAGGGTTGCTCAATCCTAATCTTTTCCTTTATCTTTCCCAATCAGATCCTAATCTGGCAACCATAAAAATTTCCAACTCATACTTTTTACTATTTTACTAAAATTTACTTCTATTGTTTGTGTTTTAACACAACAACCAAATTCTAAGAGAAATCTATCATAGCCTAGTCTTCATAATTCTCTTCAGATTAAAAACAAAAATGGTTCAGATACTTGAGTTGGTCAGAAGTCAACTGCCCCTTCCAATTTCTCATTGTTACCTTCTTACGAATGTTCAATAGCCTTAAAAGTTTAAAGGAAACACAAAAATGAGCATATTAGCTTCATATACTTTTTAGAGAAAGACAGCACTTGCAACTAACCACAAATGGCTTGCTATATTGCGTAAAGCACCATCAATAGCACAAAGACTGCAAGGCCCAAATGGTGCTGTGTTCAATTACTTAAGGGTAGCAGTAAACTGGGACTCCAAGAGAAGGGAAAACTGCTTAAAAGTATGATCCATCTCATGTGCCTACTGGTCACAAAAAGCACCCTCCTCAGACATTGTAGGAACTCCATCTGCCACCTTCCAAGTTTTATTTAGCATTCAAGCTACTACCCAAGTCATGCAAATTAGCTCATCCTGCTAAAGATGGGTAAATCCTCCTAAATTACAGCAGTTGCTCAGTTTCTTCAGTTTGTGTGGTTATCACAGTCATCAAACAGCAATTCGATCAGCCATTTTCTAGGAGGATTATACACATCCTGAACTACACCCTTCTACCTTGCCATATTGATTTGTATCTGACAGATACAGAGAATATCTGCTTCTACTATCACTCAGCAGTTAAGTCCCACATTGCCCATCTGCACAGAATGACAATATTAATGCAAGGCAAAAAGAACAACATTGAGGAATATCAGTGCTATAATCATAGCAAAGAGGCTAAAAACAGTGTCTGAAAAAAATAATTTCTCAACTTATTCATATTAAAATTTAACTTTTGTATAAAAATTTCTAGGTATTAAATACTAAAGCACCAAACTAGAAAGAAAAAGATCTGGATCCCTGCTCTTCTGACTCAGGGGATAGCCTAGATCAACTACAAACTCTAATATCTCGAATTCTTCACCTGTTAAAATGGAGATAGCATCTCTTCTACCTCCATCATGAGACTATTTTGAGGAATGAGGATGCACAGAAGGATTAAGTACAAAACACCTTGCTATGTAAGATATTCTTATTGAAAGGCAGCTTCACTGAAGTGGAAGGACTATGAAATTTGCAGGGGGACACACCTGGGTTCAAATCCTATCTGTGACCCTAGTAGCTGTTCATTTGTTCCTCTGACAAGTGAGGAAGGTCATTAAATTGCAGGGTTCTGGAGATTAAATAACACTGCACATGGAAAGCACCTGGCACACACTATATGCAGTGAATGTTAGTGCCCTATTATAAGCAAGGCTTTTCTGCCAAAAATAAAAATAAAAAATAAAAAAAATTGTCCTTTTCAGCTTTGGCCTCAGTCCTATACAAAGATCCTACGATTCAGTTTGCACAAAGGCTTTTCAAAGATAAGCACATAGGAATACAATCACATTATTCAGAAAATATGTTTCAGAACTGCAACTAGTCTATTAACCTCAAAACAAAATAGAATGTGCTTAACTTCATGGAAAAGCACATGATGATCTGCCTGGCATAACTAGTACCGTTACATTTTTTTTTTTTTTTTTTTTTTTTTTTTTAGTTTTTTTTTTTTTTTTTTTTTTTTTTTTTTTTTTTTTTGTACAGAGTCTTGCTCTATCGCACTCATGCTGGAGCGCAGTGAGCGATCTCGGCTCACTGCAACCTCTGCCTCCTGGGTTCAAGCGATTCTCCTGCCTCAGCCTCTCTAGCAGCTGGGGTAACAGGCACCCGGCACCATGCCCAGCTAATTTTTTGTATTTTTAGTACAGACGGGGTTTCACCATATTGGTCAGGTTAGCCTGGAACTCCTGATCTCAGGTGATCTGCCCACCTCGGTCTCCCAAAGTGCTGAGATTGCAGGCGTGAGCCGCCAGACACAGCCGCTTTTTACATTTTACATTACCAAACCGTGAGCTGTTGCCAAAACCCATTCACCAAGCACAAGACCTACACTCTAATATCCCATTCTGAGTTCTCACTGAGATGAGCAAGAGTCACCTGATATCATCAAAAATGGTGTACTCACAGGAAGCCAAGCCCAGGCATGATTCTTCTTGGCTCCCACAGGTGAATTTGAAGTGGCAATAGAACTTTGTTGATTCTTGTTTTTCTCATTTTAGTTTTAGTCTCTATTAAACTGTTATTCTTTACAGTTCATTTATGGATGACAAGTTATTTCCTGTTGGTAGCTGCAATGATTGAGAATTTTGTGATCTCTCACAGAGATCTATTTCTTGTTGGATATGAGACAACAGACAACATAGTTGGTTTTTGTACATTTGTCTTTTTTGAGATCAAATCAATTAGAAATTTCTTGCCCTCAAGTAAGGAGAATAACTCTGATACCTGGACTGGCAAGCTTTTGTGCTTCTGTGTTTATTTTTCATTTGTGGCTGAAATTGTAGAATTGAGGCTATACACTCTCTATCTGTATTTCTATGTATGCGTAATTCAGAAAGTCCATTTCTCATTGCGATTATGGAATGTTTTCCTGTCTCCAGATGGCATTAATAATACATTAGATGGTAAAGGCTCTTTAAAAATAAATAAAGCCCGATTCTGGGTTCATTTTTCCTCTCAAACTCTACAGAACATAACGAATTTGAAAAGCCTCTAGATGTGGGGATGTAAAAGCTCCATGCAGCTTGAGAACCATCAGTCATTAAGCCCTTAGTTCCACCCAAAGTCTGGCTGTCCAGAAGCTAAGACATTCCACTCGGGAGCAAAGGGGCGCTTTAGTAAGTTACATTAAAGCCACAAACATGGCTGCTCCCCAAGGCAGATAATACTGTGTTTAAAAAAAAAAGAATTATTTCTGTCTTCCCATTTCCTCCGCCTAAATGAGAAGGTTGACAATAACGCCTGCTTAGCCATGGGTGTTGCCACTGCAGGAAAGAACTCTGGTCCATGAGTACCGGTTCTGAACTCACCAACCGGGGTGTACCAACGCCCCCAGTACCATCTCCCTGCTAGGTTGACAGACCTCGGGCGGATTTTGACCTTGCAAGAAATGCAAAAGCAACTTTGGGCTGCAGAAGCCAGGCGCCCCGACATTACCCTCGCTGAAGTTCGCGAAGACCTCGGCTGCACCAGCCACCCGGCGTTCCGATGCCAGTACCGCTAGGACCAGCAGCTGCAGGAGCCCCATTGCTGCCTGGGCCGGGCAGGGCCCTCGCCAAGGCCAGGGAGGGGTGCGGGCGTGTGCGCCAGGGACCCACAGCCTCGCCCGAGCTACCCCGGGGCGCCCGCACCGGGCGCCATCGCCCGCCAGGTGCAGACGTCTCGCACCTGCCAGCTCCGTAGCCGCCGGCGTGAGCCCAGCCGCACTCCCGGCCCCAGCAAGAGCTTTCCTCTTCCGGCGCTCTACTCCAGGCGCGCGTTCCCGCGGCTCCTCCCGGGCTCTCGCTGCGTCACCGCGACGGGTTTCTGGGCGCGGGCCGCGCTGGGGCGTGTCCAGGCAGAGCGCGCCTCCTCCCGGCAGGCGGGGAACTCGCAGCCCGCGGCGCTCCCGGGAACCCCCAGGAAGAAAGACCTGGCTTGAGGCCCGGTCTTCCCACTTGTATCTCACCACGCATGCAAACCACCTTGAAAGTACAAAATAATTTTCTGTTGCGGTCACCAGGCTACTGTTCCCGATGTTTAACGGCTCTTTACAACAGCAAAAAAGAGGAATCGGTTGCGAAAAACACAGTTGAAGGCTATTTCCCCCAGTATCAACTGCCTTCCCTGCTGAGGCATATGTTAGTATAAAAACGCCGGGAGAATGCTGTTTGTGTAGTGGTTACCGCACCAGTTATGAGCACTACATTTAAAAATAGTTTCATTTTCTCGAAACGAAATATCCTCGAAGACACGGCCTGATCTGAACTTCTAAGTCACATACGTAGTCCATGTGACAGCTGGCTCATCGAAAATGTGGAATCAGATGCATAGACTCAACGTTACTTGGGGAAGATAATGCTTTCCTTTCCTGCTTTTTAAATTTTTCCACTTATATATTTTAATGAGCAACTATAGCTTGGAAATTACATGTTGAGTTAATCCCCTACTAAGTTAACAACCTATAGCTGTGACCGTAATGTGAAGAGGTGTTGAAGACAAAATTATTCATTGATACTTGTTAAAGCACGGAACGAAGACTACTGAGGACTGTCTCAATTGGCATAGGGACCACTGCAACTAGCTCTTACAGTGGGGAAGAGTGACTGGGTTCAACTCTAAATACAACACGGGCAAGTGGGAATTTATAACCAATGAGCAGCATGGAGTTCAGTGGACAGAAAATTACTAAGAGGAAACATCAGAGGTAAGGGGCATTTGGTGAAAGTGACCTAACAGGACTCCTCCTGAAGACAGGATATCACCTGTGGGATGGTGGAGAGTGAGGAAACTGATCAGATATGGAGGAAAGGGGGTTCTTTGCTAAAACTGGATTTTTACAAAGAAGTGCACAGATGGACCTAGCAGAAGATTCAGAACCCATAATAAAGTTTGGCCAAGCAAATAATCTTTGTCACAGGCACAATTCCTTTTCTGCTCTCCCACTGCCTGGTCCAAATTTTCACGCTTTTGGTGGCACTATTTCTGTGGTGCTTTTCACTCTCCCACACGCCCCTATTCCTATAACCCTCAGTAGATGAAATCCAAGGAAAATGAAAAGAACAGTTATGATAAGGGTAGCATCTGAATCAGTGGATGAATTACAGTATTCAGTAAATTGTGTTCTTACTGATTAGCTGCACTATGGGCAGAAAGAATCAGAACTCTGTCTCACAATAATTGTCAAAACAAAATCCCAAAGTAATAAAACCATAAAAGAGCTAGTAGAGGAGTGCTTTTTAAAAATAAATAAATAAATAAATAAATTGATCTCAAAATGGGAGGAGTTTTCTAAGAAGCACAACAGCAAAGAAAATAACCATAAAGAAAAAGATTGGTAGACTTGGCTACATAAATACTTTTACAGAGATAATTATATTAAAGTAAATACATAAGCAATATGAAAAGGCAAGCTGATGACCAAAAAATAAAAATTAGCAAAGGACATGAATACAGAATTTCACCCCCAAAAAAGGAAATACAAACTGCCAGTAAATACATGAAAAAATGTCAATCTCATTAGTAAACAACAACAACAAAAAAATCAAATTAACAAACTAAGATGTAAATATTTTAAAAGTAAAAGGACATCCAGTGTGGATAAAAGAGCTGAGAAGAAGGAATTCTTAAGTAGGGATAGTGGGAATATACACTTTAAAAAAGTAATCTACATAAAAAATGTTTAAAAATCTTATTTTTGTAGATTTGGTATAATAATTCCACTTTTAAAGTATGTAATTAAATAAACACATAAAAATTAGTATAATCTGGGGGAAGTGGTACATGCCTGTAGTCCTAGCTACTCAGGAGGCTGAGGCAGGAGGATTGCCTGAGCCCAGGAGTTCAAGGCAGCAGTGCTCTATGATTGCACCTGTGAATAGCCACTGCCCTCCAGTCTGGGCAACATAGTGAGACCCTATCTCTTAAAAAAAATTAGTGTACAAAACTATGCATCAAGGTGTTATTTAGAGTAACAAAAACATCTAAAACAACATAAATGCCCAACAATTAGGAGTTAAATATCCTATGATACATTTATATAATAGATCCTGTGCAGCCCTTCATTTATATTCTAGAAAGCAACTGATTGAAGTCTTCATGAAAAGGCAACTTATGATGCAATAAATATATATAGTATCCAGCTTTTTTTAAAACATACATTTTTTATTGACTCAGAGAAATGGTTACACTTTTGTTGTTTGTTTGCACTTTTTTTTTTTTTTTTAAGAGACAAGATCTCACTATGTTACTGGCCTCAAACTCCGAGATATAAGAATTCAAGAGGAAGAACAGAAAAGGTGACTTGGAAGTCCAGGACAGGTTTATTTTAGAGAAAACAAACCTGAGAGGAGCTTCTGGCTGGTTAGGTTAGGGGCACAGTCTCTTACAGACAAAAAGTTTTTAAGGATTTAGGGTGGGAGACTTTATCAGAGGCTTGGACTGCTTTGGTACCTCTTTGTGGTGCTTAGGAGGGAGAGTTGTATATCTGTTCCCATACATCTTCCTGCAGCTGCAGGCATACCCCCGAGTCTGCTTTTAGCTTCCCTATCTTGGAGCACCTGAAGAGAAAGGAATGTGCTTATTAAAGCCCACTGTTTTCCTGGGGTCCATTGCATGAGGGTGAAGTTTGGCAGTTACCCAAGAAACTTTCCCCCCACCTCCCTTTGTGCCTGCGCTGTCTTGTGTTTTACTGTCTGTTCTTTCCAGCTGCTTGTAGTTAGAAGAGAAGTGATTTCCTCGAAATGTATGAGGCTAAAAAGAGAGCTGAAATTAAAGTGGCAGTGTTTATGGGAGATGACTGTACTCCCGCTCAAACCCAAGCAATCCTGCTGCCTGAGCCTCCTGACTAGCTAGGACTATAGGCTCGCACCACTGTGCCTGCCTTGTTTTCTTTTTTCCTTTTTTCTTTTTCTTTTTCTTTTTTTTTTGAGACAGAGTCTTGCTCCTTCACCCAGGCTGGAGTGCAATGGTGGATCTTGGCTCACTGCAAGCTCCACTTCCTGGGTTCAAGCATTCCCCTGCCTCAGCCTCCCAAGTAGCTGGGTCACAAGTGCCACCACACCCAGCTAATTTTTGTATTTTCAGTAGAGATGCATTTTCACCATGTTGGCCAGGATGGTCTTGATTTCTTGACCACATCATCCGTGCGCCTCAGCCTTCCAAAGTGTTGGGATTACAGGCATGAGCCACTGTGCTCAGCCCTTGTTTCCTTTTTAATATGCATTCCTGGTTATATGCATAGAGAAAAAAGGTTGAAAAATATATGCAGAATGTTTAAAATAGTTATCTCCAGGTGGTTAAATTAAGAATGATTTTCTTTGCACATTTCTGTAAAAAAGTTCTACATTAAAATGTATCATTTTTGAATAAGAAATTATGATTTTGTAAAAGATAATATGATTTTAAGGGTTTTCTTGTAAAAGCATTCAAGACATAAGTCCATCTTCCTGAGTCTGACACATAAATGCTTTTCGTGATGCAGTGCTTGTTCACCTCCCTAGGTTCTTGCTGCAACTAAAATCAGACCTCTACATGCTGGCCACATTGCATTAATTTCAATTTCCTGAACTGAGCCTGTTCTCTCTCTTCCATACCTTTGTATCACAGTTCCCCATGCCTGCAGTTGCCTGTGCCTACATGACAGCTGATGATAGATGTGTCAGCAATCAGAACAGGGCCTCCTTACCTTGGCTTCTAAGTACAGTATTGTGACAGTTTGGGAGGATGATTGCCTGGGGCTTCATGTTCATGTAAGAGTTCCATTGGAGAGCTGAGAAGCAAACTAGCTTAGCAGCTTTGCAGATGAGTTTATTTTTTCTATGCATTGAAAGGAAACGCAGAAACTGAAAAGATTCCCAAGTATAAGATATGCATAATTAGAGCCTTAAAGTTTGTTTAGGCCAGGTGTGGTAGCTTCACGCCTGTAATCCCAGTACTTTAGAAGGCCAAGCCAGGAGGATCTCTAGAGGTCAGGAGTTCAAGACCAGCCCGGCAACATAGTGAGATCCCCATTCTTACAGAACAAACAAACAAACAAAAAACAGAAAAAGAAAAAAAAAATTAGCTGGGCATGGTAGGGCACATCTGTAGTCCCAGATACTCAGGCATCTGAAGGAGACGAATTTCTCGAGCCTAGGAGTTTAAGGTTGCATCAAGTCATGATTGTATCACTGTACTCTAGCCTGGGTGACAAAGCGAGATCCAGTATCTGATAAAACAAAAGTCTGTTAAAATTTAGAAAAGGAAGGAAGGGCAGGAGGGAGAGAAGAAGGAAGGGAGAAAACTTACTCTAGATTTTTAAATAAAACCTAAGATACCTTAAATGGAGTTGGGAGCAAGGATCCAGGGAAGGATCCAAAGGCAGGATTGAACCTCTGTGAAATTTGCCCATTTATTCTTTTCCACTCTAATCTCACCTTCGTCCTGTATTTTTTAACTCTTATGCTCTTTTGTGGGTAGCTATTTACATTCTTTGACTGTTTAAGTTAAATTCCATAAATGCTTATTTAGTAGCTATTATATATAATTATTATGCTAGAAAATTCATTCAGTTGGTTGATAAATATGTATTCAGCTTCTGTGTGCCAGCCTAAATGCTCGATGTTAGGTACTGGAAATATGGAAACAGAATATGTTTTCTGCCTGCAGGTAACCCATGGACTGGTTGATGAATTAGCATCATGTACGAATAATCACACCTCAGTATGCTCAGTGCAATTATAGAAGTGTAAGGAAAAATTGTGGTAAAGATTAGGAGCATTTAACCTTCTCTCAGAATTCAGGAAAGGCTTTTATAAAGAGATGGTTAAAATAAGATTTTCTTCACTAGTATAGTGGTGAGTAAAAAAATAATAGGCTGGGCATGGTAGCTCACACCTGTAATCCTACCACTTTGGGAGGCCGAGGCAAAAGGATCACCTGAGGTCAGGAGTTCAAGACCAGCCTGGCAAACATGGTGAAACCCTGTCTCTACTGCAAATACAAAAAAATTAGCTGGGTGTGGTGTCAAGTGCCTGTAATACCAGCTACTCCGGAGGCTGAGGTAGAATTGCTAGAATCCTGGGGGCGGAAGTTGCAGTGAGCCGAGATTGTGCCACTGCACTCCAGCCTGGGTGACAGAGTGAGACTATGTCTCAAAAATAATAGTCATAACAACAATAAAGAAAATAACATTTGAGGACTGTGAGGACAATCACCAAGGGAACAAAGTGGAAATGTGGATGGAAGTGTGGGCATTTCATACAAGGAAGAAAGAATTATAGGCGTTTTTATATGGTGTGCATGGAATTGTAAAACAGCAGAGCATGTTTAGGGAATTTCAAGGGGTGTAGCATAGAAAATACTTATTCATAGTATATTCATCCCAGCACTAGGAACATTTTAGATATTTAATAAATTGCAACTGTGAGTATTAAAGGTATTTTCAGCCAGGCACAGTGGCTCACGCCTGTAATCCCATTTGGGAGGCCAAGGTGGGTGGATCACCTGAGATCAGGAGTTCGAGACCTGCCTGGCCAACATGGCAAAACCCCGTCTCTACTAAAAATACAAAAATTAGCCGGGCATGGTAATGCATGCCTGTAATCCCAGCTACTACTTGGGAGGCTGAGGTGGGAGAATCCCTTGCACTGGGGAGGCGGAGGTCAAAGTGAGCCGAGATGGGGCCACTGCACTCCCGCCTGGACAACAGCAAGACTCCATCTCAAAAAAAAAGTTATTTAAAAAATTGTTAAAGACGTTTTTCTGAAAAAATAGAGAGTTGCTACAGTCATAAAAACCAAACTACTTACACAATTGACTATGAGGGCTCACTGCTAAAGGTGATGAGGGTAAGCGAGGGTTCTTTATACTCTCTAATTTTCTATATGTTTGAAACTTTTAATAATATAAAGTTTCAAAGAAAGTACTTGCCAAAGTTGTGTGTTTAAAATATGAGATCTATAATACTGGGTTCCTGCTCCTAAAACCATATAATCCAGTTGGTATCACAAGAGAAGCAAATGAAAAAGCATATGAGAAAGCGTCCAAATCAAGAAAAGAAGAAAGGAGAGGTCCCTATAGACTCTAGCAATTTATAAAATTTGTATGAGAAGTGTAAAACTTAAAAAGGTAGGTAAGAATTAAATAGCAGGAAAGAAATTGCTTTGGGAATGGTAAAGAATGAGGAAAGAGCAAGACCAGTGGTTCTTAATTGGGAGCAATTTTGCCCCCCAGGGGACATTTGGGACTATCTGGAGATACTTTATGTTGTCATAAATGGATTGGGGGGATGCTACTGGTATCTCAGGGGTAGACGACAGGGATGCTTCTAAATATCCTACAATGCACAGATCAGCACCCCACAACAAAGAATAATCTGACCAAAAAGTCAACAGTGTGGCCATTGAGAAATCCTGAGCTAGATGCATAGACTATATTTGGCAGGTGAGTTATTCCTGAAGTCTACAGCTTCAAGAAACTCATAAACCCCTTTTCAAATGTAGGCTAAGTTGTGGACCTCCTCTGGGGAAATGGTCCACAGCTTTTATCTGATTCTTTAACCTGATTCTTTAATCGGATTCTCCAAAAGAAGCTGAAGAACCAGAAAACCAAGGGGTCAGGGGCCTTGGCTGAAACAGAGGATTATTTTACTCAGAAAATTATCAAGTGGCAAGGCTGGGTCTGTTTGCTGAAGCCAGATTATAGTGAAACTTGAAAATCAGGCAGAGATAGTTGGATATCAACCTGAGGTCTCTGTGGAGGCACAGAAGCAAAGACCTATTAGGAAGATATGGCAGGACAAAAGCTGTGTCACAATGTGAGTTGCCTTGAAGTGGCTTCTCTACTTCAGGTACCCGCATTCCCTTCAATCAGGCTGTAAAACTGAGTAGGCTAAATTATATCCAGTCAGTCACCAATCCATATTAGTTTTTTTCTCAAAAATATATTTTAGTCTTTCCTTCTTATCTGTCAACACTCTATTCTAGGCCCAGCTCATCTCACTCTTGGACAACTGCAAAACCTTCCTTCAAGTCCTTGGCTTATGCATCTTTGCAAACAGATCACTAGATATACTTCCTGGCATATGGCAGGCATTCAGTAAGGTACACTCTTAAGTGAGGGTGGGAGAAGAAGGTCATAGATTCCTTCCAAATTACAGTCAAAACAAATTATAAAGTGATCTCTCATTAGTCCCATTATGGGGAGCATGCCTTAACCACGTTCCTAATGAGGCCCCAGTATGACTGCAGACTCTTTGGGGATGGGTGTGGCACATGGGTGTGCGGCAGAAGTGGTGCTTCCCAGCAAGGGTTGGGATAAATCCAACAAGCTGTTTCTGAGGGACTGTGTCCCCCACCTTCCCTGCAGCAATCACGAATAATCAGTCTGAGAAAGAGGATATGAGAGTTTGTTTGAAGTCTACAAACCTATTATTTGCCGATTCCAAACTCATTTTTTACCAGACTATCCTCAGGCTAAATTTCCTTAAATACCAAATTTCTATTATCACTCTTCACACTTAAATTCTCAATACGTCCCAACTCGAAATCTAAATTGTGCAGCTGATTTTTCTTAAAAGTGAACCTGCCCTACCAATGCATGTAGCTTATTTTCCAGGAATCTCTTTTCCAACAATAATACTGTGAAACCTCCACTCTCCTCTCCACTAACCCTCCTCTGTTCCTCACAGGGATTTCCTCACTGTCACAGAAACCAAAGAAGCTTATTAATTACCTACACTTACACCTTCCCTTGTAACTCTAAACGCTCTTCTTCCCTCCTTCTCCGCACATGGTCACTACTGTCCAGGTTAGTTTCTGACCATTTGGACGCTTTCTGTTTATTGAGTGTCACCCGTCCCAGCCCACCCACACTCAGAATGAAAGTGAGCACCCAGTCTCTATATGGGTAGCCCCAACCTCTTCAGCTCAAAGGTGACAGAGAAGGCACCCTAACCCTGTCCTTCATGATTACCTCATGAATTTTAATTTGAATTTATTATTTTTTTTAATTTTAGGTTCAGGGGTACATGTGAAGGTTGGTTATATGAGTAAACTCATATTTGTTTAAAGCCCATATTGTGACTCCCAAGTACTCGTGAGTTTGCTTGCTGTATATATGTTTTGTGGTCCACTGGAAACCTTGTTAAAGGTTGTTTTCTGAAAAATAAATAGAGAGTTACTACAAATGTAAAACCCAAAGTATTTACAAGATTGTGAGTTGCTAAACTGTTGAAGCTGGTGAAAGGTATGCGAGGGTTCACTACACTTTGTACTTTTGTATATGTTAGAAACTTTTAATAATATAAAGTTTATATTCAATAATATTGAATATATTATTGAAACCTGGAAAGCAAAAGCAACTGAAGCTTTCATGGCGATATAAAAAAATTAATATAAACTAGGGGAGGGACAGCGGGGGAGTAGGGACTTGGGGAGGGGTAACACTGGGAGAAATGTCAGCTATAGGTGATGGGGAGGAAGGCAGCAAACCACATTGCCATGTACGCAATGTAGTTTGCTGCCCATGCAACAATCTTGCATGTTCTTCACATGCACCCCAAAACCTAAAACGCAATAAATATATATATATATATAAAAAGAAAAAAAAATAATATAAATATCTAGTGTTCAATTTGGTCAGTAAATAAATACATGAGGGTGAGAGAAATCGCTAAAAAAAATCTCCGCAGAATCCAACAATCTCTGAAGCCTTTAACACCTGAAAATCTAAAGAAGCCCCTCAAAGCAACTGGACCCCTACCATTCTTCCCCAGTTATTCAAAAAGATTCAGCCTCACCCAGGTGTAGCCCGCTCTACAAAGGACGCCTCGGGGAATCCCAGCCCCTCCTGACGGGGCGGGCAGTTCTCTCCGACCCCACCCCTTCCAAGAACGCAGCCCTGTGATTGGCCAAGACGCGTGCCAGAGCAGCCCAGTTGCGGAAGAGCAGCTGTTTCAGCGTCCGTTGGTGTGCAAGAGAAACATGGCGGATCGGCTCACGCAGCTGCAAGACGCGGTGAATTCGGTGAGGAATTTCATTCCATTAACCTCTGTCCTTCTGTTTCCTGAGGTAAAACAAGGGAGGAAAGGGGCCCAAAAGGCAAAACTTGGAAGTGGAGACCGAACTGAGAGACGGCTTCGGCATAAAGCGCTTTCTCGGGAGGCGCCACCGCGAACTTGGAGGTTTGAGGCCGGCTGCCGTGCCAGGGAGCAGCCTCTTTCGGCTGAGGATACCGAGACCGGGAAGGTAGCTCTTGTCCGGGTCAGACCGCCGAGACCTGTGGGCTGCGCGGTCCTGTCGTGTTCCCTGAGGACAGTTTTATTATCAGTGGTGCTTACGGAATCTCTTTCTTTTGGGGATTGGGGGGAGAAGCAGAAGCTTTTTTCTTTCCTCATCAATTTTAATTCACCAAGGGAGGCCTCATGCTCTGGATGACTGGGTTTTTGTAATGAAATGTCAGCGCTTTCAGGTTGGTGCGGGAGCGAAGCTGAGGTGAGGTGAGAGATCTTTCATCTTAGCTCGTTCCTATGGGCCCAGAGTCTCCTTCCATCTCTTGTCTCTTGGTCACCCCTTAGAATACATCAGTTTGGGGACATCTTTATGATAGGAAATCTTCTAATCCTCGTATACCTTTCCGTTTGAGTCCTTTTTTTTTTTTTCTTTTCTTTTTTTTCTTTGAGACAGGGCCTCACTCTATTGGCCAGACTGGAATGCAGTGGTGTGGTCACAGCTCACTCCAGCCTCGACCTCCCTGGCTCAGGAGATCCTCCCACCTAAGCCTCCTGAGTACCTGAGACTACAGGTGCACATGACCCCTGATTTCTTTGTATTTTTGTAGAGACATGGTTTCCCCCATGTTGCCCAGGCTGGTCTCAAACTCCTGGGCTCAAGCCGTCCGCCCACTTTGGCCCCTCAAAGTGCTAGGATTACAGGCATGAGCTACCACGCCTGGCCAAGTCTTTTCCTTCCAAAGGTTGGATGGGGACTTTCACAGTGTATAGAATAAAATTCTGTCCCATAATCTAAAGGATCCTTAACAGTTTTTTATAGTAAATAAGTTGTTAGTGAAAGAGAGATTTCTTTTTTTTTTTTTTTTTNTCTTTTTTTTCTTTGAGACCGTGTCTCGCTTGGTTGCCCGGGCTGGAGTTTAGTGGCGCGATCTTGGCTCACTGCAGCCTCAACCTCCCAGGTTCAAGCGGTTCTCCCGCCTCAGCCTCCTGAGTAGCAGGGATTACAGGCGCCCGCCACTACGCCTGGCTAATTTTTGTATTTTTAATGGAGACGAGGTTTCCCCATGTTGCCCAGGCTGGTCTCAAACTTCTGGCCTCAAGCGATCCTCCTGCCTTGGCCTCCCGAAGTGCTGGGATTACAGGTGTGAGCCACCACACCCGGCCCGTAAACACTTTTTAAATATCTCCCCCAAATTCTATTCTATTAAAGGCCAAGTCTTGTGAGTAGCTCCCCAATTTTGTTCCTTCTGGTTATTTTTCCTCCGCAGTATTGCCTGAGTGGAAAGCAGATGCAAAGCCAAAGGATGCACATACAATCATGGGCCCTAAATGAATGGGTTTTGTAAACAGTAAATGCATAAACCAGTAACAAAGTCATTTAGTATCATTATCTAGTATTATGGACTCTACATAATTGTATGTGCTATACTTTCATACACTGGCAGTGTGGTAGGTTGGTTTACACCAGCATCACCACAAGCACTAAGTAATGCATTGCGCTACAGTGTTAGGACCGCTACGATGTCACTAGGCAGTTAGAATTTTCAGCTTTGTTCTAACCATAGGGGACTGACATAGTATATGCATCCTGTTGATCAAGACATCATTATGCGGCAGTGGGTATACTTATTACCATTACAAATTACATAGTTTTCTGTTAAATAGTTTTTCATCGATAGTTATGTTTCTCATTGTCTAATTGTGATTTAATGTCCTAGATAAGGGGCTGGAGAGAAAACATGCTGCGAGGAAAACCTAGGTACCTGGTCTCCTTGCCAGCCGCCCCCCCCCTCCCACTGTAAGCTAATAACTTGGTATTTTTGTTAATACGTCAGGCTTTGCACCCTTGAAGAGTGTGAATCTACTTGTGATAAACTGATATACTCTAAGTGATTAACAATAGTTTTTAAGGCTGAGAGGACCAGTCTCTAGATGTTGACTTCATCAAGATAAATTCTACTGGGCAGGGACTTGCCTGGGCTGCCAGCCAGCCAGCCTCCTTCAGGAAACTACTCCTTCGAGGTTTTACAAAATCAAATTGTAATGCTGGATAGAAATCTTATTTTAGGGAGAATTTTTCATATTCATACATGTCTTGTAACTAGAAGGATAGTAAGAACAGAATGAATATGGCCTTAACTTTAGGTTAAGCATACTGATAATTGGGTTTTGGAGAGAAACATTTAGGATAACTAGTATGAGTGCCTGCTGTATATAAGCACATGTTTACAAAGAGATACTCTTTCAAGAGGTTAAAAAATGTATATTCAGGAGACATTTAAGTGATGGAAAAACAGTTTGTGGTTAGGGAATTAACAATGAATTGAGTGTTTTCAACTGCAGGTTCTGAAGTAAATTGGAATATGGAGTGATATGAACCAAAATAGGGAGAATCTTCTTAAGCATTTATTCTAATCATAATTATTTGTATAACTTTTAACATTTGTTCTACTCTCTGAAAACTGTGAGTGCAGAAGCTATGTCTCGTTTACTATGTGTTTATATACAATACTTGTCATAGTTATTTTCCATAAATTTTTGTTGACTAAATGGATCTTAAAAGCTTTTGAAGAATGGAACAGATAACCACTGTGTTGAATATTTTTGTGTCTGCTCTGTTCCTCACAACAATCTTGTAATATGAGAATGTATCCAATTTAAAAATGAAAAATGCTACTTGAGTTAATAGAACTAGGATTAGGATCTAGACTTGTATAGCAGCTGATCACTTATTGCTCCATTACAATTAGCAAAACCTGGGCAAAGCCATTTAGTCATGAGTGACTTTATGACTAGGCAAATATGAAGGAGTAGTGGAAAACAAGTAAGAGGAAAAGAGAAAGATTTGTAGTATTAGTAGAATTTGAAGATCAAAGGAAAGTAATAATCTGTAGTTAGACTGGTTGACTTGGAGACTGTCAATACAAATTAAACAGAGGAAACAATTGCCTTTGAGTTCTGTCATTGAACAATGGCAGAGAAACCCAGTGGAAATGCTTATTAGAAATAGGAGGTTTGAGAGGTCAAGACTGGTGAGAGAAATTGGTGGGGAGGATAGGCGTATTTAATTTGGAGATGATAAGGAATTGCTGTTCTCAATCTTTAAAAGTACTTAAGGAGTACTTTCAGAGCACAAGAGTTTAAAAATTGAGTCTTGAACAAATATGTTTCTGATTACTTAAGGTGCTTTTCTGAGCAGTCTTTTCCCCACTATTTCTTTATGCTTGTAACTACTCCAGTTTCAGAAAAGGAATTATATACTTTGTACATGAGTAATAAATTTTCATTAGACGTGATGCCATACGTAGATATTTGCAAGTCAAATTTCTATCACTGTTCATTTCCATCACTGTTCCCCAAAAGTCTTTACTTTTGGCTTATAATAAATATTGGCTAATGTTCTCTTATCATTTTACTATCAGAAGAAAATAAATATTATTTTTATTTCAACTGTTTCAACTAGATTGATACCAAACTTAGTTTCTTTGCAGAAGTAAAATGTTTAATTAACCTTAATAATAACTGGCTTAATTTATCAGCAATTATTCCTTTCTGTTTTATTCCCTTGCTCAGAGATTATTATTACAGAAACTTGTTGTTGTTGTTGTTGTCAATAAAGTCCTTAAAATTGATAAGTCTTTCCTAACCTTGACATGTTTTCTTTGGCCTAAGCTTGCAGATCAGTTTTGTAATGCCATTGGAGTATTGCAGCAGTGTGGTCCTCCTGCATCTTTTAGTAATATTCAGACAGCAATTAACAAAGACCAGCCAGCTAATCCTACAGAAGGTAAACAGGTTTTCTTAGCTTCTCTTTGTTTGACTCTCACGTTTATTGTAATCCTTTAAAATTAGATTTATTGAGCAATTCAGCTTATTTTGTTTCTAAAAATATTATTGAGGATATTACAAATTTTGTCATAAAAAATTTATAGTCCACATAAAATCTCATAATTGTGGTTCATGTCAGTTAATAGATTGTTAGTCCTTTAGAGGAGAATTTGTATTAATTTAGCTGAATGAGGGACCTTAACAAGGAAGGCATCCCATTTATAAATTTATTTTTTAAGTGACCACTATATTGTCATAATAAATGAAATTACATACATTATGCTTAATTCCCAATTTGAGCTAAATGTATAATAGGATTGGTGTATATTTTAATCATTAGAATCCTAGTGCAGAAAAAGCTATGTGAAGTTTCCAGTTTCACTAACTTAAAATTTGTTTCTGAAAACTTGAGGTTTTCTAATAACCTAATCTAGCATTATCTTTCTCTAGAGTATGCCCAGCTTTTTGCAGCGCTGATTGCACGAACAGCAAAAGACATTGATGTTTTGATAGATTCCCTGCCCAGTGAAGAGTCTACAGCTGCTTTACAGGTAAGTCTTTATTCCTTTGAGAATTTTACCAGTAATAGAGAATTTTGAATTAAAGGAGCTAGGTTTAATACCCTTTGTCTGTGTCCATTTGTGCTGCTATAACAGAAGCACTGCTGAGACAGTAATTTATAAAGAACAGAAATTTATTTTCTCACAGTTTCTGTAGGCTGGGAGGTCCAACATCAAGACATTTATTACTCATTTTGTATGAGTAATAAATTTTTATTTATCATGGTGCTATGTTTAGGGCCATGTTTAAGGCCATGTTGAGGGCCTTCTTTCTATTTCCTCACATGGCAGAAGGACAAAAGAGTAAGAGCTCCCTCTTCAACCTCAAGCCATTTTATAAGGGCACTAATTCTATGAGAGCTTTGCCTTCATGACTTAATATCCTCTTAAAGGCCCTTCGCCTCTTAGTAACATCACATTGGGGATTAGATTTTAATGTATGAATTTTGGAGGGGACACATTCAAATCATAGCACCTTTTATAATATTCAATTTTCCATTATAAGGAAACCTCTTATTTTCCTGAATTGTGTCTCTTTTCCTAGTGAAGAATGAGAGGAGGGTGGCATTCTAGATGTAGGTTAGAACAATGGTGCCCAAATGTAGTGTGGAAGGGAGTCACTTACAGATATCTAGAGATTTCTAATTGAAAATTCATTCTTTTTAATAATTCACATGAGGAAAATTCTTAGAAGTTATCTGATTTTTAGAATTTCTTTGCTGAAAAATACATCACAATGATTGCAAAGTCATCCAGATTTAAAAATAAGTACCTCTGCGACTGCTTCTCTCGTTAACTCTAAAGATTTCAAAATTTCTGTCTTATAAAGGCTGCTAGCTTATATAAGCTAGAAGAAGAAAACCATGAAGCTGCTACATGTCTGGAAGATGTTGTTTATCGAGGAGACATGCTTCTGGAAAAGATACAAAGTGCGCTTGCTGATATTGCACAGTCACAGCTGAAGACAAGAAGTGGTACCCATAGCCAGTCTCTTCCAGACTCGTAGCACCAGTGGATACCATGTGGCTGAGAAAAGAACTATTTCAGTGCCATTAAGAATTCTGCATCAGACTTAGATAACAAGCCTTACCAACAGTTATAGAAACATTCAACACTATGACACATGTTCCCTTTTTAGCTATTTTTAAGTCTTCTATTTTCACTCTTGATAAATAAGCATATAAAAATCATGATTCAACCAGCTTTAAACCATCATACCATCATTTTTTAACTGAAATTATTAAGGCAGATAATGCATTAATAAACATAAGTAAACATATATAAAATTCTATTGTGACATGATTCATGTCTTTATTTTGTCATATTGGCCAGTACTTTTACAAATCAAAACATTTCTCAAGCCAGAGAAGAAGGTAGTAAGAACAGACATAAGGGACGTTTTAGTTTAGGCCAGCATCCTGCCTCTTAGAGGTGGCATTGTGTACATTTGAGCTTTGAGCAAGAAAGTTTTGGAAATTGTATTGCTTTTAAATAGATTTAGCATGGCTGAATAAGTAAGTCAGATTTATTCAAATGTTTCTTATTTCAGAACTTCATAGCTGTTCTAGTTCATCTACACATTTATTTCACCAAGAAATCCTCTGTCAAGAGAATTTTCATGCTACTGTGAAAGAATTCACCTTGTATTTTTTAGCCTTCTCCTCAATTTGCTTGTCATCACAGTGAAGTATGTTTGTTTGTTTGTTTGTTTTGAGACAGAGTTTCGCTCTTGTTACCCAGGCTGGAGTGCAATGGCACGATCTCAGCTCACTGCAACCTCCGCCTCCTGGGTTCAAGCAATTCTCCTGCCTCAGCCTCCCGAGTAGCTGGGACTACAGGCGTGCGCCACAATGCCCAGCTAATTTTTGTATTTTTAGTAGAGTTGGGGTTTCACCATGTTGACCAGGATGGTCCCGATTTCTTGACTTCGTGATCCACCCGCCTCGGCCTCCCAGAGTGCTGGGATTACAGGCATGAGCCACCGCGCCCGGCCCTTGAAGTATGTTTTTTGAATCATCAGTTCTTTCTCATTCTCTTTATTTATCTGAAGTTTCTTTCTTTTGCCCTTTGTTAAGCTCTCAACTTTTATTGCTGTATTCTAGTCAGACCAGAACATACTTTCTATACATCAGTTACTAGGCTCCATTTCACCTCAGTTTATTATTGCTAACATTTGTATCAGCATTTTCAACTATGGTTACTCATCCAACCCTTGGATCTCTTTTAGTCTAGTGATTTTCTCCACTGGAAAGGTGGAATTGAAATGTGTTCCACATTTTAACGGGCCATCTCCTTGGGCTGTATTGTTCAGAATATCCTGAGCTACATTTGCTGCAATCTTGCTATTCAGAGTTTAAGTTTCAGGAGAAAACAAAAATAGAACACTGCTTGTTATTTTTCTCATAATCAAGCTTTTCCACAGTTCTTGAAAAGTACTGTGTTTCAAATTTCAGGAACACCAGTGTTAGCTATAAAATTTGTAGCAATTTATTGGCTAGTCATAGAAATTTTTTGAACTTTTAACTGTATTTTCGTTGATGTTTATTAAAAACATTTTGCTATCCCAGACATTGTACATGAATCTACTCTTCATTATAGTTTTTGGAGGAGAGAAGATTTGATCAGAAAACTGATTTTCAAAGTACTTAAGTGTTATAAAGGAGTCAAGAAGGTACAAATAGAAAATGTCAAGACATTTTTCAAATGAAGGAAAACTAATAGGATTTATCACTAGTAAACCTGCTCTAAAAGAATTGTCAAGGGAACCTTTTTAGAAAGAAGGGAAATTATAGCAGAAGGAAACTTAGAATGGCAGGAATTAAGAAGGCTCAATGTATAGGATGAATATAATAGACTTCTCGAGGTTTTAAAAATTACATTTGGTAATTGAAAGAAAAGAAACACTTTTATACAATTCTCTAGAGAATATATACATAGTTTTTGTTGTTTGTTTTTTTAAGGTGAAGTCTCTGTCACCCAAGCTGAAGTGCAGTGCTGTGATCATGGCTCACTGTAGCTTCAACCTGGGCTCAGGTGATCCTCCCACTTCTGCCTCTTCAGTAAGTGGGACTACAGGGATGTACCACCATGTCCAGCTAATTTTTTTTTTTTTTAAGAGATGGGGTCTCATTATGTTGCCCAGGCTAATGTCAAACTCCTGGCCTCAAGTGATCCTCCTGCCTGGCCTCCTGAGGTGCTAGGTTTACAGGCATGAGCCGCCTCACCAGGCCTGCACAGGTAATTAAGTCACCTGTATAATAAAGGCAAGAGTAAAGGAACGTTGTGGTAAGATTTTTACCTTCAACTTTAAATGGTAAGATACTGATACTGTACAGTAGAATGTAAGAAGTATTGGTATCATCCCTAGAGCAACACAGATTTTTTTCCCTAAAAAACTACACAAATTATTTTCAAAAGCATCAATGAATTAAGGTAGAATACTAAAAAAGATTTAGGTAACTCAGGAATGAGAAATAGAATAAATAAAATAGTAACCCTATATTTTATTAATACATTGATAATTAAATGTCAATGATCTAAGCTGATTTAAATCTCAAAACTGAGTAAGAAACTGTGGCTCTTATAATGAAAGACCTTTATTCATTAGACCTACAATTTGGTTTTTTCATATGTAAATTAAGAAGAATTTAATATCCTGCTTCTCTATTTCAGTTCTAGGGGCACCAGATCAGTTAACTAGCCCTAAAGATGTCTGTAAGTGAAACCATTTTGATTACTACTTGCTCTGCTGTCAATTATGGTAACCAATCTCTCTTTGTTTCTGGATGCTAAATCCTTCCACTTGTGCCTTAACCATCCTAACTCCCATAATCTCCATTGAATTTAAGGAGCCAGTTTCTTTTTTTTGAGATAGAGTTTTGCCCAGGCTGGAGTGCAGTGGTGTGATCTTGGCTCACCGCAACCCCTGCCTCCTGGGTTCAAGCGATTCTCCTGCCTCAGCCTCCCGAGTAGCTGGGATTACAGGTATGCACCACCACGCCCAGCTAATTTTGTATTTTAAGTAGAGTTGGGGTTCTCCATGTTGGTCAGGCTGATCTCGAACTCTCGACCTCAGGTGATCTGCCTGCCTCAGCCTCCCAAACTGCTGGGATTACAAGCATGAGCCACCATGCCCAGGAATCAGTTTCAATGGGAGTATCCTTTACTGTCATTCTTGACCTATGATAATAGCAAGTAGAGCCTTTCAAGAATGATAGTATCTCCCCTCACCAATGATTTTTTTAAAAAGCCTTAATGAAGAGAGTGTCCTCTGGATCCTTCCAGAGAAGATAGGATGTGAGTAAGTTATGTATAATAATTTCACCCCAGAATTTCTGTGTCCTTGATATCATTCTCTGTAAACCAAGGAAGGATACTCTGGCATTTCACTTTGATTTAATGTAAGTAAACCTTGTGTCTAGGCATTAGTTAACAAACAAATGACTACAAGTGATAAGTAACTTGTACCATAGACTATCAATTACCTTGGGAATGGGAACATTATTGCCTTTTAATCCAGAGAAGAAATTCCAGAAGATTCTGTGTCTGCTGCCTCTTCTCGTAGTAAAAGGTGTCAATATGAGGTAGACTCAATGGAATGTAGCCATGAAAAAAAATGCTACTACAAACATTACAGGAATAAGGGATTTGATCAAGGAATTAGCATTTACACAGAATATAGGAGGAGTTAGGGAAGTGAAAGAATAAAAGGAGAAAGAGGATCAAAAAACTTCACATCACCCTAAAGACCTTATTGCCAAACAAGGTTGTTGTAGTGCCAGTTAAGTCCAGGTCAGCCAAGGGGTGCACACCCCCTGGCCCCACTTGGAAAGCTGTGTGGCTATGATTGTTGGATTAGGGGGTTTTCAAAGCCAAAATAGATTTATCAGCAATGATCCTCCTGCCTGGTACCCACCTTTGAGAGGACCAAAAACAATGGATGGATGTGTCTTGCATCTCCTGCTTCTTTATTCTTTTACACATATCTAAGTTGTTAAAGGGAGAAAAGCCCTTAGGATGAAGCCATATTCTCTCTATTCCTGAAGGACCACACACCCTAACCCCCTGTTGAAATTTCTGGACGCCTACGGGAAAGCCTACGGGAAAAGCTTCATGGTTTCATTGAATACAGGTGCCTAAGTTACTATTATAACTGGTCCAGTAAGGAGAAGAGGCACCTGAATTCAACTTGGGGGCTGGGCAAGATAACCAGTGAGGTGGGGAGATAAATATAACTTGGTAGCTAAGACCCTTCAGGTTGACTTGATGCACTGTGATCACAGCTTCTACTTCAGATATGTTACTGGAGTAGATATCCTTACACTTATAATTCTCCTACACACAAATGCCAGTGAGGATAGTCCCTTTGAGGACATGGTAAATGTAGAGAGGTTAGTATGACATGTAAAACACTCCCCAACCTGTCTCCCTGTCTCCTACTTATAGGGTACCTGGCCACTGACCACAGTATTAACATTTACTTGAGCCCTGTGCTCCTGGAAAACAGTGACAGTTAAGAAATCCCTCCCTCGGCTGGGCGCGGTGGCTCATGCCTGTAATCTCGGCACTTTGGGATGCCAAGGTGGGCGGATCACAAGGTTAAGAGATCAAGACCATCCTGGCCAACATAGTGAAACTCCGTCTCTACTAAAAAATACAAAAATTAGCTGGGCGTGGTGGCATGTACCTATAGTCCCAGCTACTTTGAGGCAGGAAATTCGCTTAAAAACCCAGGAGGCAGAGGTTGCAGTGAGCCAAGATCATGAGATCATGCCACTGCACTCTAGCCTGGAGATAGAGCGAGACTCCGTCTCAAAAAAAAAAAAAAAAAAAAAAAAAAAAAAAAAAAAAAAAAAAAAAAAAAAAACAAAAAAAAAAAAAAAAAAAAAAAAGAGAAAAAAATCCCTCCCTCTTGTTGCGTTTCCAGAAATGGCTTATTGCAAAGAACCACCAGAACTGTGAATAATCCCTTCCTTTACCTATGATAAAGCCAGACTCTGACCCTCCAAATTCCATTCTTTGCCTCAAAGTACTTAGTTGAACTATTTGTCCCTATAGACTAATCTGGACAAAATGCCTTTTAACTTGACCCAATTTTATGCTTCTCCCTTCCCCATAGGCCACTGGACTTTGATTCACTCTAAGCCTAGGCCAGCACTGGACTGTGGAATAGTCCCTCCCTAACCACCCCTCCTGAAAATTGATAAGCTACCCAGAAGGACATTCCATGCTCAACCGTCCCATTAATGTCACCTGCTCCTCTCCTCCACACTAGTTTTTTCTAGGCCTGTTTATTCATTCCTGTAAGAGAAAAAGAGAAAAGCCCATTGCTGTCTGATCTTTGAGATGATTGCAGATCTTACCTTTGAAGCATTCTCCTTATTGCAATAGTTTCCCTGACCCTATTGAAATAGTTCCTCTCTCCCTGTTTGTATTCATCCATTCGGGCTGCTATAGATACCAAAATACCATAAGCCAATAGCTTATAGACAGCAGAAATTTATTTCCCACAGTTCCGAAGCCTGGGAAGTCAAAGATCAAAGTGCTGGCAGACCTGGTGTCTGATGAGGTGAGGATCCACTTCTAGTTTGTAGATGGCACCTTCTCACTGTCCTCACATGGTAGAAAAAGCAAGGGAAACTCTTGGGGCTATTTAGAGGTACTAATCCCAATCATGAGGCCGTCACCTTCTTGACCTAGTCACCTTTCAAAGACTCAACTCCTTAATACCATCATCATTCATATGTTAGTATTTCAGCATACAAATTTGCAGGGGATGGAGGGACACAACAATTCAGACCATAATGCTACTTTAATCATTTCAAATAGAGTCATTCTGTACCTAGCCTGGATTTTTATTTGTTTTACTTAACCCCATTCACTTGGGTAAGAAAAAAATCTCATGGATTCTCATTGATAGCCCCAAGGGTAAGGCTGGGACAGAGAGCAGAGACATTGATTTACTGTGAGGTAAGAAATCTGGGGATTTTTCAGCAAGATGCCCAAATAGGAACAGCTCTGGTGCACAGCTCCCAGCTAGAGTGATGCAGAAGATGGGTGATCTCTGCATTTCTAACGGAGGTACCTTGTTCATCTCATTGAGACTGGTTAGACAGTGGGTGCAGCCCAAGGAGGGCAAATCAAAGCAGGATGGGGTGTTGCCTCACCTGGGAAGCACAAGGGGCCGGAGGACCCCCTCTTCTAGACAAGGGAAGCCATTAGGGACTTTTCCCGGCACTCTGGCTCAGATACTGTGCTTTTTTCACCATCTTCACAACCTGCAGACCAGGAGGTTCCTTCCAGTGCTTACACCACCAATGCCCTTGGTTTCCAGCACAAAACTGGGTGGTCATTTGGGAAGACACTGAGCTAGCTGCAGCAGTTTTGTTTTGTTTTGTTTTTCATAATCCAGTGGCGCCTGGAATGCCAGAGTCACAGAGCCACTCATTCCCCTGAAAAAGGGGGCTAAAGCCAGGGAACCAAGTGATCTGGCTCGGTGGGTCCCACCTCCACGAAGACTAGCAAGCTAAGATCCACTGGCTTGAAATTCTTGCAGCCAGCACAGCATCTGAGTTCGACCTGAGATAGTCAAGCTTGGTGGGGGAAGGGGCGTCCACTATTGCTGAGGCTAGGATAGGCAGTTTTAACCTCACCTGTGTAAACAAAGTAGCCAGGAAGTTTACACAGTGACCGGGTGAAGGGCATGGCAGCTCAGCAAGGACACTTCAGGCAGACTATGTCACTAGATTCCCTCTTTGCTGGGCAGAGCATCTCTGAAAGAAGGCAGCAGCCTGTCAGGGACTTATAAATAAAGCCGCCACCTTCCTGGGACAGAGCACCTGGGAAAAGGGGCAGTTGTAGGTACGGCTTTAGCAGACTTAAACATCCCTGCCCATCAGCTCTGAAGGGAGCAATGGATTTCCCAGCACAGTGTTTGAGCTCCGATAAGGAACAGACTGCCTCCACAAGTGGCTCCCTGACCCCTGTGTATCCTGACTGGAACACACCTCCCAGCAGGGGCTGACAGACACCTCATAAAGGAGAGCTCTGGCTGGATTCTAGTGGGTACCCTTCAGGGACGAAGCTACCAGAGGAAGGAACAGGCAGCAATATCTGCTGTTCTGCAGCCCCTGCAGGTGATTCCCAGGCAAGCAGGGTCTGGAGCATACCTCCAGTAGACCTGCAGCAGAGGGGCCTATCAGAAGGAAAACTAACAAACAGAAAGAAATAGTTTCAACATCAACAGAAAGGACATCCACTTAGAGACCCCATCCAAAGGTCACCAACTTCGAAGACCAAAGGTAGATAAATCCATGAAAATGGGAAGAAACCAGTGTGAAAAGGCTGAAAACTCCAAAAACCAGAACTCTTCTTCACCAACGGGTCACAACTCCTCACCAGCAAGAGAACAAAACTGGTTGGAGAATGAGTTTGGCGAATTGATGGAAGCAGGTTTCAGAGGGTGGGTAATAAAATTCTCTGAGCTAAAGGAGCATGTTCTAACCCAATGCAAGGAAACCTTGAAAAAAGGTTAGATGAAATGCTAACTAGAATAACCAGCGTAGAGTAGAACATAAACAACTTGATGGAGCTGGAAAACACAGCACAAGAACTTAATGAAGCATATACAAGTTTCAATGGCTGAATCAATCAAGCAGAAGAAAGGAAATAAAAGATTGAAGATCAACTCAATGAAATAAGAAAGCAATGGCAACAAAACCAAAATAGACAAATGAGATCTAATTAAACTAAAGAGCTTCAGCACAGCCAAAGAAACTATGATCAGAGCGAACAGGCAACCAACAGAATGGGAAAAAATTTTTTCAATCTACACGTCTGACAAAGGACTGATATTCAGAATCTACAAAGAAGTGAAACAAATTTACAAGAAAAAAACCCCATCAAAAAGTGGGCAAGATATGAACAAATACTTCTCAAAAGAAGACATTTATGCAGCTAACAAACATATGAAGAAAAGCTCATAATCACTGATCATTAGAGAAATGCAAATCAAAGCCACATTGAGATACCATTTCACGCCAGCTAGAATGGTGATCATTAAAAAATCAGGAGACAACAGATACTGGAGAGGATGTGGAGAAATAGGAATGATTTTGTACTGTTGGTGGGAGTGTAAATTAGTTCCACCATTGTGGAAGACAGTGTGGTGATTCCTCAAGGATCTAGAAATAGAAATAACATTTGGCCCAGCAATCCCATTACTAGATATATACCCAAAGGATTATAAATCATTCTATTATAAAGACACAGGCACACGTATGTTTATTGCAGCACTGTTCACAATAGCAGGCTGTAGAGGAAGCACGGTGCTAATATGTGGTTGGCATCTGGGGAGGCCTCAGGAAACTTACAACCATGTCAGAATGTGAAGGGGGAGCAGGCATGTCACATGGCCAGAGCAGGAGCAAGAGAATGAATGGGAGGTGCTTTTAAACCACCAGATCTCACAAGAACTCACTATTGTGATGACAGTACCAAGAGGATGGTGCTAAGCCATTCATGACTGCCCCCATGACTCAATCACCTCTGACCATGGCCTACCTCCAACATTGGGGATTTTTTAATGAGATTTGGGTGGGGATAGACATCCGAAGTATATCAGGTGTGTATCCTGGGCAGAGGTGGGTAGGTGGGGGGGTGGTATTTATCTTGCAAAGCAAAGGACTTGGCATCATCTTCCAGGAAATGGGTAGAGCTAACCTTTAAGGGAGGAAGAGGAGAAGGCTGCTTGTGCCAGCCCAGAGGAATCACTGGAATTGCGATTCAAGATTTTCAGTGTATTAACTAAGAGGACCCATTCCAAGTCTTAGGATCACAGTCCTTCCCACCAATGCCCTCCCTGGCCTTGATGAAGCCAACTTGCCTGAGTTGAGAATCATATATTTCTAGAGCTTGTTCACCACTCTTGAAATTAAAGGTGAATCTGATCCTCAGCATTTTCTGCCTTTAGGCTATGAGAGATGAGCGTCTGCTGCCAAAGAGGCCTTCTAGCTTTCATACTTTGCTTTCAATTGATGGTTAATAACCATAGCCTCCCCCCCGCCAAAGTATTAATTGATAGCATTTAGTAACCATCATATTCCAGTACTTTTTTTTGTTTGTTTGCAGATTTATTAAAGTTTAATTGATGACAAACTACATATGAGTTTGTGTGTATGTGTGTGTGTGTGTGTGTGTGTGTGTGTAGTGCACAATTTGCTAAGTTTTTGTTTGTTTGTTTTTGAGACAGGGAGGGTCTTGCTCTGCCACCCAGGCTGGACTGCAGTGGCACAATCATAGCTCAATGCAACCTCAACCTTCCACATATGGTAAGTTTTGACATACATCTATGAAACCATTATCAAAATCAAGCCAACAAACATTTCATCAACCCCAATAGCTTCCTCCTGCCACTGTTAAATTTATCCTTCCTTCTACCCCCAGCCCCTGGTAACTCCTGATTTGCTTTCTGATAGGTTAGTTTGCATTTTCTGGAATTTTATATAAATGGAATCATACATCATATATTCTTTTTTTAGGGGGATGTCTGGCTACTTTCAGTAAGTGTGATGATCTTGAGATTTATATATGTCGTTAGTGTATCAATCTTTTTATTGTTGAATAATATATTGCATTTAATAGATCTACCAAATGTGTTTATCCGTTCACCTATTGATGGACATTTGGACTATTTCCAGATTTGGGCTATAATGAATAAAGCTGCTATGAATATCCATTTACAAGTCTTTGTGTAGACATATTCCCATATTTCTTGAGTAATTATGTAGGAGTGGAATGGCTGAGATATTTGGAAAATGTATTTTAAGTTTTCAAGAAAGTACCAATCTATTTTCCAAAGTCATTGTACCCTTTTGCATTCTCATCAACAGTGTATGAGAGTTCCAGCTTCACCAGCACTGGGCAAAGTCTTTTAACTTTAGCCATTTTAGTGGGTGTATAGTAGTAACTCATTGTATTTTTTCATTTCATTTTAAAATTGAGGTATAATTGACATGCAGTGAACTATACCTACTTAAACTGTACAATTTGATGAGTTTGACATATGTATATACCAATGAAACCAACACAATCAAGATAACAAATATATTTATCACCCCCAAAAGTTTCCTCATGCCCCTATGAAATTCTATCTTTTCTCCCCTCCTTGCTTCTGCTACCCTACCCTGGACAACCACTAATCTTCCTTCTGTCATTATAGATTAGTTTGTATTTTCTACAGTTTTATATAAATAGAATCTATAGTATGTACTTTATATATAGCAATAGGTCATACCTTTTTGTTACTTAGATCTTTGTTACTAAGACATGTTTCACTGTATGGCCAAACCATTATCAGTTCACCTGTTGACAGACATTTGGCTTGTTTCTAATTTTTGCTCAACACAAATAAAGTGGCTAAGAACATTTACATACAAGTATTTGCATGGACTTAAGCTTTAATTTCTCTTAGGTAAATACCTAGGAGTAGAATGGTAGTATAATAGGTATATATAATATTTAACTTTTTTTATAACACTGCAAAACTCTTTCATAGTGGTTGTATGGAAATAAAAACGAGAAACAAAATAAATGTATATACAAAAACACATTTAATGTATCACTTTCAGGAAAAGGAAACGCTTTACAATGAGTGAGAAAATCTACACCGCATTTTGAAGACCAGGATAAAAGGCATTTTGACAACAGATGTTTGGAAATCTTTCCATCATTATAAGAGTTTGTTGCCAAAAATGATGTATGTCCGTCTATAAAACTCTTCTACCTGAAGATTATCTGCTCTATTTTTAAATCTTTCAGAAAGTTAGTTTTGAACCTATTGATGGAAATGTGAAAACTTTGATTACTCCCAAGAATAATTTATTTACATCAAATAAGATATACATTTATTACTTAAACAAAAACCTCCCATTTTTGTTCTTCTTTCTTTTTTAGTTTTCTTTTTATAAATGGACAAATAATAATTGTACATCTTCATGGGGTACATAATGATGTTTCAATACATACAATGTATAGTGATTAGATCAGGGTAATTAACATATCTTTTTAATTGGTGAATGGACTGAAAAATTGATACTCTGATTTAGAAAGTGAAGCTAACCCTTTCATTTGAATCCATACTTCTCTGCAGGATCTTTTTCAGCTTTGAGGGCCATCAACGCCAAATGTTGTAGTGAACTAAACTTATAACCAGACCATCATATCATTTTATCTCATAAAATGAAGCAAGTATTCCTGTCATTTCAAGGAACACAACTGAATAATATTGTTTGCCAGTGATAAATTTGAATTTTTAAGTGAAAATTAGAATTTTGGAAAATTTATATCCTCCCTATGAGCTTGATAGCTTCCTAATATTTAGAGACTTTTCTGGAATCTTTCTGATGAGACCAGTGATAATGTTAACAATTGTTACTTTTGAAATACTGCTTAATGAAACCCATCAATACCAACCCAAATTTTATAAAAACAAAGCATATTTAAAAACATTTCTTGGTGGGGGCACAGTGTCTCATGCCTGTTATCCCAGCACATTGAGAGACCGAGGAAGGCAGATCACTTGAGGCCAGGAGTTCAAAATCAGCCTTGGCAACATGGTGAAACCCCTGTCTCTACTTAAAAAAAAAAAAAAAAAGAATTTTTATAATATGGGTGACCCTCATAAATCACATAACTCTGCTGAGGATAAAAGATATGCATTTTTTTGTCAGAATTATCCAGACTTTTTACATTAATTATATTCACATTTTTCAGACCCCAAATTGGCAAAAGTTGAAAGATTTTTCTTAAATTACAATTTTCTTCTGCCAGAGCCAAAAAATGTAAGAAAACCCCTAGATACCATGGTCATATCCATAATTTTAAAATGATTTCTCAGCACAATGAAGAAATTATTGAGAACAAGTCCTTTCCAAAGAAAAAAATCCAATAAGAGATTAAATATGCACTGTAATTTTAGAAGATAGTTAAGTTCCATCCTGATATAGAATGCTGTCTCAGACACTGGCCTATTCTAAATGCATCAACAAGTAGTCAAAGAGTACCGTAAATACCTATTTTTCCTTAGAACACTGCTGGTACAGATTTCCCCCTAACCCTGGCTAAGGCCCTCTTTATTTATTAGATGGATTAAAATTAATTCTTTTGATTTGTACTTATTCTTTCTAAAAATGGTTGATCTATAGGAATTCAAAAAGTCCTTTTCAGACTTATGCAATGTCAGCTTTTAAAAAAATCAGTTTGGCTAAAGTAAAGCAAGGGAATCATTGCCAAGTAAAGCACACTATGCAGAACGTGGGACATATAGGATGACTCAGCATTGCATTTTAGTCTCATGACTTTGCTGGGAATCAGATGCAGCTCTCGGGAATACCAGTAGTTGGCTTTAGGTTTAGTAGGCATGAGTTGAGTTTAGAAAAGGCAGAATCTTACAACTTCTGATTATTGCTGCAAGAACTTCTTGGCCGAAGCATTCTTGACAAATCATCCTTGAAAAGCTATTTACTGTATGGAAAATGTAAAACATAATGGGTGAGAGCACAGATTTTGGGTTTGAACCTTGGCTATGCCACCACTTACATGTCATGTGACCGCGGTTAAGTTCCATCATCACTCCATGTCTCAGTTACCATATATACAAAATAATAATAACATACTGCTAAATACTTACTAAATCCTTTACATTTATTATTAACATAAACCACATAGGATCGTGTGGTTTATGTTAATATAATAAATGTAAAGGGTTTATTCTGGTACTAAATGACCAGTAAATGTTGTTTATAATTAGTTTTATTATTTATTTATTTATTTATTTAATTTTTTGAGGCAGAGTTTCATTCCCATTGCCCAGGCTGGAGTGCGGTGGTGCTCAAGCAATTCTCCTGTCTCAGCCTCCCAAGTAGCAGGGACCACAGGTGCACCACCATGCTCAGCTAATTTTTTTTTTGAGACGGAGTCTCACTCTGTCATCAGGCTTGGAGTGTGGTGGTGTGATCTCAGCTCACTGAAACCTCTGCCTCCTGGCCTCAAATGATTCTCCTGCCTCAGCCTTCCGAGTAGCTGGGACTACAGGCGTGTGCCACCAGGCCCAGCTAATTTTTGTATTTTTAGTACAGACAGGGTTTAACCATGTTGGCCAGGATGGTCTCAATCTCTTGACCTCATGATCTGCCTGCCTATGCCTCCCAAAGTTCTGGGATTACAGGCATGGGCCACTACGCCTGGCCTGCTAATTTTTAATAATTTTTTGTTGACACAGGGTTTCACCATGTTGCCCAGGCTGCTCCTGAACTCCTGAGCTCAAGTGATCTGCCTGCCTTGGCCTCCCAAAGTGTGGGGATTACAGGTGTGAGACACTGCCAGGCCAGTTTGCTTTATTTCTTAGGCCTCACAACATCCCTGTAGTTATTATTGGGTAGGTATCTGCTATGGTTTGAATGTCCACTCCAAAAGTCATGTTAAAATTTCATTGCCATTGTAATAGTACTAACAGGTGGAACATCTAAGAGGTGCTTGGGCCATGAGGGCTCTTAAAAATGTATTGACATTATTGTGGGAGTGGGTTCATTATTGCAGGAGCAGGTTCCTCATAAAAGGATGAATTTGGCACCTCATTTATTTCTCCCTGTCTCTCAAGCTTTCTTGCTTTTCCACATTCTGCTATGGGATGTCATAAGAAGAAGATCCTCATCAGATGCTGGTAGCTTGATCTTGAACTTCCCTACCTGTAGAACTATTAGGACATAAATTTCTATTCACTTAAAATTACCTAGTCTGCAGTATTCTGTTATAGCAGCACAAATCAGATTAAGACAATATCCCTAAAGGTAAATCGATTTTATTCCTGAGAGTAAACCAAGGCTCAGAAGGTAACTGTCCACTCACCCAGAGCCTGTCTGTGACAGTTCCTCTGATTCCAGACAAGGCACTTCCCGATATGTCATTCTAACTCTACAAATTTCATTTATGTCTTCTAAGTATAGTAATCAGAAACATCATAAAAGCTCAGTCTCTTACATGGTCTTAGACTTTGCCAAATTGAGATTTATAGAATTAATAAGTGTATGAGGCTAGACACAGTGACTCATGCCTATAATCCCAGCACTTTGGGAGACCAAGGCAAGCTGATCACCTGAGGTCAGGAGTTTGAGACCAGCCTGGCCAACGTGGTGAAACTCTGTCTCTACTAAAAATACAAAATTTATCGGGGTGTGGTGGTACGTGCCTGTAGTCCCAGCCATTCAGGAGGCTGAGGCAGGAGAATTGCTTGAACCCCGGTGGTAGAGGATGCAGTGAGCCAAGATGCTGC